TCACTGTATGTCGCTTGTCTTTCACTGTATGTCACTTGTCTTTCACTGTGTGTTACTTGTCTTTCACTGTGTTATCCGACTTCTAATGCGTGTCACTTGACTTTCACTGTGTTACCCGACTTCTAATGCGTGTCACTTGACTTTCACTGTGTTACCCGACTTCTAATGCGTGTCACTTGACTTTCACTGTGTGTCACTTGTCTTTCGCTGTGTTATCCGACTTCTAATGCGTGTCACTTGACTATACTGTATGTCACTTGTCTTTCACTGTGTGTCACTTGTCTTTCGCTGTGTTATCCGACTTCTAATGCGTGTCACTTGACTATACTCTATGTCACTTGTCTTTCACTGTGTCACCCGACTTCTAATGCGTGTCACTTGACTTTCACTGTGTGTCACTTGTCTTTCGCTGTGTTATCCGACTTCTAATGCGTGTCACTTGACTATACTGTATGTCACTTGTCTTTCACTGTGTCACCCGACTTCTAATGCGTGTCACTTGACTTTCACTGTGTGTTACTTGTCTTTCGCTGTGTTATCCGAGTTCTAATGCGTGTCACTTGACTTCACTGTATGTCACTTGACTTTCAATGTGTGTCACTTGTCTTTCGCTGTGTTATCCGACTTCTAATGCGTGTCACTTGACTATACTGTATGTCACTTGACTTTCAATGTGTGTCACTTGTCTTTCGCTGTGTTATCCGACTTCTAATGCGTGTCACTTGACTATACTGTATGTCACTTGTCTTTCACTGTGTCACATGACATCTCACCCGACTTGACGGCATAACTAAGAATATTTCTTACTTTTACTTGAATTCTCGTGACTTCAATTGGAAAGAATTCAATGGAGAAACACCAGTCTTCTACTGGGATCCATCCGGTGTAGACGGAAGATCCTGCTCTGATGTCAGCTGCGTGAGAGTTTCGACTAAGCCGGTCGAGATATCAATTCCAGACCTTTCGAAGAGGTTAAAGGTCCGCGTGTTTTCTTTTTAAAACGCAACTTGAGAAGCCTTCATAAAAATTCTTTTTAAATTCGTTCGTAGTTTAACATGACACTAATGTGGCAGAATTTGCTTAGTTCCAGCTGTAGGCGTTATGGCTTTCACTCCAGTTGTAACAAAGCGGGAAACCGCGCTTCAGACGCCCACTTAGTTGACATGGAAGGCCAGGTGAAATATGTACTCGATATTGTTCTTTATCATTGTGTTCCATTTGGGAAAGAATTTTCAGCTTTGAAGAAAGTTTACCCTACAATTGACTTTGATTGTCTCACGTTATTAGCACTTCCTTGCTGTAGACATTTGGTCTTGATGCGGAATCTCTCGTTGACCATAATGAGAAGTATATTCTACATTCTTGTAGATGAGCAGGAGCCCATTTATCCGTGCGGTTCTACAGACAGATTCACCACAGATTGTCCACCTCTGAAACTTCTGAAATGGACTTTGTTTAAATTTCGGGCATTTCTCTCAGGATACCTTTCTCTAGAGAGAGAGAGTTTTGAAGAATTCACATCACGTCAGATCAATGCTAAAAAAAACGCACACATTTCTCAATTGAAGAAAAAAGAAGGTGAAGAGGTTTTTACTTATTTTAACGTCGTTTCAGTTAGGTCTTCAATCATTTATTAGAGAATATTTTGAGAAGAAACAAATACACTTTTGACAATTCACGAAGTAATAGGATAATGATTTTTTTTTTCAGATTTTTCTATCCCATATTCTTGGAACCTGAAATTTTCAAAATATTATTTCAATGCAGCAATCATCTTAATTTTGAAATTTCTTAGAATTGTGTTTAGAATATTTTTGATTTCGTTCTTAAGCAGTTTCTTTGAACGAATAAGCCGGTAAAAAGAGAGAGAGAGTTTGGCAAAGTCGTAATTTGAACAATCCTTTGGCGTTGTTAAGACTTTTTTTTTTCTTTGAAATAGTATGAGCATCGGCTATGTTATATAGAAATTTTGAGGAATTTTTTATTAAATGATATTAATGAAACAAGAGATTTAATTAAAATGGATGATAATATTTTCTATTTTTCAAAAATTGCCAAAAATTTCTCTCAGCAAATGCAAACAATGGATGCCATGGAAGAGGAAGATTTAAGCTAGAGACTAAATACAATGTGGAATACATATTTTGAACGACTTGAGACAGAGTAGAATAGATGTTCACTTTCTTTTTATTACGTTTTCCGAAATAGTGCATCAAATTTTACGAGTGCTGTAGGCTTTGGAAGCCGTGTATTATACACTTATGGACAAACAACCTTAAAGAAAGTTTCATATTTAAAGCCTAAACCATTCCTTATTATTATTTTTTAAGGAGGCAGAGGGGCAATTTTGTTCACACTTGGTTCACAAAGGTTACTGTGTATCAAATATCATTCAGAGTTATTCTCTGAATCCCGATGTATACATGTTCAAAGGTGCAACTTCCTTAAGTTTTGTCCATGAGTGTGTTTGCACTAGAGAAAGAATCAAAACTTTTCGCAAACAATTAATAGTCAGCTAGGATTTATAATGCAATTATAAATTCATGTTTCGCTCAGAAAGTAATGTACAATCCGTAGAATCACAAAAGTATATAAGATATCAAGATTAAATAAATGTCTAATATTTTTAATACAGTAAAACTACCTCCCTGTGTAAAGGACACCTAATTGCAGAGCCAGAGTGTCCTTTAGAGAGAGGTGTCCTCTTACCGGAGAGTTGCTAAATTGTAAAAATGGTAATTTTGCAAATGAAAAATGTCCTTTGTGGAGAGGTGTCCGCTAAAGGGAGGTTCTACTGTATTTCTCTTTCAAAGTGTGGAATTATTTTATAGTTTGTATTTTTTCTGATTTTGGAGCCTGAATTGAGCACAAGAATCTCACAGAAGTCGATGAGTCAGTTTTTGGTTATTCTGGCGACACCTCAGACACAGTAATTCATACAAAACTGAAGACTTGTATATAGAAACGAAATACCTCACAGAGGTACATACAAAGTCGAATTCAAAGCTTCCAGACTGATGATTTTGCCATCAGGAACAAAGTGAGGGCCGAGTAGACCATCCTTTTTGTCTGAATTTTCCAAAACTGGTATTGTAGGTCCTTCTTTATCACTACCATTACGTTCTGTACTGGGGTGATAAAAACCCTAAATGCATTTGATTCAAAAGGCGATACATCAAATAAGTTTATATAAAAAAGGGCGTACCTATATCTGTAAAGAAAAAAACAATTTTTTCTCAAAATATTTCAAGAGATTGCTCCCTCTTTATCAATTTATCACACAAATGGGATTGAAATGTTTTGTGCAATAAATTGATAAAGACGGAACAATCTCTCGAAATATTTTGAGAAAAAAAATTGTTTGTTTTTTCCTTTACAGATCTAGGTACGTTCTTTTTTTATATAAACTGAATGCATTGTTTCAATGCATTTTTCAAATGGTTCCACTTTTTATTACATACAAGGTATGTCCCATAAGTTCCCGGACTGGATCCATAAAAAAATAAATAAATGAAAATTTTAAATGAATTTGACTGTTTATTATAGAAAATATATCTGGCTACACGGTGGTACCAATATCGAGGCGGTACTTGCGCGCGCGCCAAGGTTATTCTAATTTATTTAAAGGTCACACCTAGCGCTGCGGCGATTTTACGATGGAACAAAAATTGAAGCAGAGGATTTGCATAGAATTTTGTGTGAAACTTCAAATATCAGCAACCGAAACTTTTGAAATGCTTAATAAAGCATTCCCCAATGACGCCCCAAAGAGAACAACTGTTTTTGAATGGCATTCTAGATTTGAAGCTGGCAGAATTTCCATTGAAGATGATCCTCGTCAAGGACGCCCAAAATTTCAAAGGACTGATGAAAATGTGCAAAAAATCACCGATTTGATAAAAGAAAATCCTCGAACCACTTTGCTGGAGCTAGAGCAAGACACAGGCATCTCTAAAACAACGATTGGAAGGATCGTAACCGAAGATTTGAAGCTCAAAAAGACTCCTACAAAATTCATCCCAAGATTCCTCACCAATGAGCAAAAACTGTGTCGGCTTGCAACCTGTGAGGACATGATGGAAATGACAAGAACGGATCCAGAATGGAAAGACAAGATAATCACAGGCGACGAGACATGGGTCTATGGCTATGACCCTGAAACCAAACCTCAATCTGCCGAGTGGAGAGGTTAGGGTGAGCCTAGACCCAAAAAATCCAGAAACAAGGTGTTGCTGGTCGCTTTTTCGGATAACAAGAGCATTGTTCATCACGAGTATCTTCCTGCAGGCCAAACAGTTATTAAGGAAATGTATTTGGGCATTCTTCGCCGTCTAAGGGAAGCGATTCGAAAAAAAAGGCCAGAAAAATGGACTAATGGTGGCTGGATCCTACACAATGACAATGCTCGCCCTCACACAGCGCAATTGATGACTAGCTTTTTGGCGAAAAACGGGACACAAATCCTACTTCAACCACCCTATTTCCCAGACATCGCACCAAATGACTTTTTCCTGTTCCCCAAACTTAAAGCAGTTCTAAAAGGAAGACATTTTGACACCAGGGATGACATAATAGAAAAATCGCCGTTAGCATTGAAGAGCATTCCAAAAGAGGCTTATAAAAACTGTTTCGACAATTGGGAGAAACGATGGCGCTGGTGCGTTGAAGCAAGGGGGGATTACTTTGAAAAGTTTTAATAAAAAAAATTTTAAAAAATCTTACCTTTTTTTTTTTTTATGGACCCAGTCCGGGAACTTATGGGACATACCTTGTATATTTATAGAAATTTCTCGTTGTATTAGAGTGATCTTATACTTGGTCTGTTATTCTGGGATGGTAAATTTTATAAAATAATTCGATTTTATTCAGTATTTACATTTTCAGGTTTTTAAAAAGGTAATAACCTACAGCTATACCCGTTGTTCCCAGGTGGTCACCCTCCCAAGTACTGCCCGGGCCCGACATTGCTTAACTTCGGTGATCGGACGAGAACCGGTGTTATGGCCATACCACATTGAAACGCTGGCTCTCGTCCGATCACCGAAGTTAAGCAATGTCGGGCAGTACTTGGGGGGGGGGTGACCACCTGGGAACACCGGGTGCTGTAGGCTATTACATTTTCAGGTTCAATTATTATTGAAACTTTCCGTCGTATGTGCGATTCACTTACTTTATTCGATGTTTAGATGATTTCACCAAGTTTCCTTTGGTAGTACTTCCTTTTGCGTACAACAGGGCGATCTTACAATAGCATCGATCTAAGTTACCAATGGCGTTCCTCGTTGGCTTACCAAGCGAATATTAACCTGGAGAGAGTGAGAATGCCCTTGCAGCCTTAGAATAATTTTTAACGCTTTGCCAAATGTTTTTATTTTTGTTCGCTCCTGACGAGGACAAAAGATTTTTGTCGAAACGTCAAGACAATAAAAAAGATTTACTGGCCGAAGTATCTTTAATTTGAAGAACTGGACAAAGTGGTTAATAAGAGTCGGTGGACGAATGAGCAAAACCCTCGATTCCCGACAGTCATGAACTGGGCTCGAATCTCGCATTAAACACTTTGTTTTAATATGTGAATAACCTTCACATATTTATTCATTGTTGTAAATATCATAATCTAGGTAGCTCTTTTTGAGCGGTACCTAATAAAGTGATTTTGGAACAAGAAGAAAGTGGTTATTTTACAGCAAGGAAGACGTACCGGCTGGATTATGTGAACTCGCGTCTGATGGATGCATGGAAAGTGTCTGGACCAGAGGGGAAGGTTCGGTCTTTCTAGCTGTGGGGTTGATGGTACAGTGGCTGTCATGGAGAGGAGGAGGCTGCATCCCTAAGCGTGGTTCCGGTGAAGCCGCCCGAGGGCATCTCGCAACGGGGACTGGATACTTGGTTGATCCTGTCAGTAGCCAAATGCTTGTTTCAAAGATTAATCCATACATGTCTAGGTACACGTCCTAGCAATGTAAAACCGCGAATGGCTTATTAAATCAGTTATGGTTCCTTAGATCGCGTACACATTTACTTAGATACATGTTGCAATTCTCACTTAGGAACAGTTCAAGAATACACATCGCTACCTTAGACAGAAGAAAGGAATTTTATGATTTAAAAACATTTTGTAGCAATTTCCAGAATTTATTTAGATTTAAATAGATTGGGACCAAGAAAAAAAGACGTAATTCAAACGTCTTATTCTTAAAATACTAAACTCCAACCATGCCCAGAAATCCTCCTCTACGTGGCGGGTGGGAGAAGCAGCACAAGTAAAGGACTGCCCTATAGGGCGAAGTACGGTGTCGTGAGCCCCAAGCCGCTACGGTAACCGTGAAGAGGGAACTCTGAAATGTGGCTGACTAATGGGGCAATGGCACCCTCCCTTCCGTTCCATGGAGCAACAACTAAATTCCAACTCTAGGAGAGCAATGCTACTTGGAGTTTAGTTGTTGTTGTTCTATTCGTTTGATATATTTTCTATATAGTATTCCATTAAAAAAGAGTAAACAAACAGATTTAAATTATATCTCGCCTCTAACACAATTTAAAATTAATGAAGACTCCTTAATTGAAATTTTATCTGGCCATTCTGTGTTAATGAGGCAGACGTTTGATTGATAATAGTCGTCTGGCATTTTGCCCCTTTTCAAAACGTACAATGGAGAAGCCTAGATGTTAATTTGAAGCAGGATTTACTATTCTGTGGAAGGGAGGTATTCATGGGAGCATTGTTTTAATCCATTTTTAACGAATTTAATATATTGAGTCTTTCATTATTTGAGTCTGCAATCTCTGCGCAGATATGATGAAGGAAAAATTGCTTCATACATTTTAAATCTATATTTACTGTGTATGTACCAAAAGAGGCACATCTCCATTTATATATGCATTGGAACGATGCTCTGTACATCACCTTTGTGAAAAGCTTTCGTACAGGAATGCCATGATCCTACCAGAATTAGGATTCCGTACCTACAACTGACTCTACTTCTCCAGCTAAAACATCTTTTGGCAGTATTGTAGAGGCCACTTCTGGGGCCTCCACAAAGTTCACCCACAGTATCAATGGAAAGCTGGTGGACAATGAAGAAGCTGCCTCGACAAAAAGGAAGAGGACTTCGAGCATTCTTCATTGTAAAACCAGCCCCTCTCTTCACCTCCTTTTTTTTTCTTCTAATTTTTGTATATAAATTATAATAAATTTCTTTTTTCTTTTAAATAAGCAGCTATTTGTTTTTTTATATATATTTTAAAATAATATTTCGAATAATAATTTTATTTTTATTTTTTATTTTTCAAAAAATTTCTTTTTTTTATCACAGAGGGTGACCAGATAAAGATTTATTATTAATTTTATTTTTTTTTCGGTCACCCTGGGGAGAAAAAAAAAGGTTAGTTAGAGCCAGTTCTTCTTAGAGCAGGGATAAGAGATAAGATAGAGTAAAAAGCTCGTGAAAAATCAACCAAAAATGTAGTTCAACAAGAATTGAGTGGAAGGAATTCCCCCCCCCCCCCCCCCCCCCCCCAGCCTTCCAACTGAAGCACTAAGTTAAGTATTTTTTTTTAATAATGATTTTTTTACAGGTGTATTCATGTAAAATTTCTCACAGTGTTTCCTCGTTGCCCGTTTTATTTATTTTTTTTATTCTTATCTTTGTATGACCGTCAAAGGAGATAAATAAATATATTGTAGTATTAATCAAATTCATAGTTGTCTATGTCCTTTTTTTTAACCCCAGTGCGCGCAGGATACATACAAATTAAACTTTTTATATAGCAGGATGTAAAATTTTCGTGAACTCCCTGAGAATGAAAGAGCCTCATGGATTTCGGGACCATAGCGCCGAAATAGGCTCATCAATGACGCCTTCAACGTGGGACGACCAATTCCAAATAAGGCCACGAAAAGTTCACGGTAAAATAACACCCTGCTGTTTAAAACATGTAACTTGTAAAATCCTGTCTAAAGCATAAACTAATAGATAAATGTGTGCTAGTTGGAGGCTACGGAAAATCCAGTAAAGAATGGTAAAGTCCACGAGGCGGCCAACCACGTGGAGAACGGATCCCGCCATTTTTTGTGTGTGTGTGAGGTAAGATTTGATATATTTGTGGGAATATTAGATAAACGAGCTATTTTTAATTAAGCCAAACAATATGCTAGAAGGCCGCAATTGTCCACTTACATTTTAGTTTTATTAGGTATTATGTTATTTATTATTTGTTTCTTAAATGAAATTAGGCTTATATTGTTTAATTAAAAAGGCATATTTTAGATCAAAATATCATTATTTTCCAATATTTTAGTTGGCTGAACGCCAATCTTTATTAAGATATTATGAGCATTCTGAAAAATAACAGTAACGCCAATTTTATATTTAAAACTATTTGTACTATGTGTAAAAGATTTTCGCATAAAAATAACAAAATATATAAAAAGGAAATGTTAAACTACAATTTTTTCAAAATAAATTAATTGATTTAAAATAAAACATAAGTAAAATTTGAACATATCCACAATTTGGATAATTGCGTGTATATTTTAAAATTATATACAATTAATAAAATTGAACATTGGAAATCATTAAAATTAAACGTTCGAGGTCAAATTTTACATATAGCAATTATAAGTAGTAGCTTGAAATATGTACAGTCAACACATTCGCCTCAAAATATACATCCTGCAGAATCTATTAAACTTGATGTATTGGTCTTTATTGCAAGCAGCTTATTTTGTATTGGTCAGGTAAAGTTGGTTTTCTTCCCTTGGATCAGAAGTTAATGGACATTTTATCAGAAGGTGTTCAGGGGTTTGTTGTTCGTTTCCACGAGTGCATGCAGGTGAACCAATATGTGTTGAAGTCACCATGTCCAGTAAAAAAATTGAACGCTATAGAAGTTGGGTTGAACATAGAACATAGAATTCTAAATCTAGTATAGCCCATACTTTTAAAAAGGACCATAATTGAAAGCAAGGTGTGCTGAGAACATGTACGAGAAGATCTACGTATGTTTTCCCACGTGACGCAGCGGAGCGTGACCTTGCCTGCACGGGTGAGTCAGTTGTTGTTTTGAACTCTGTATGGATGGACATTAAAACATGGTGGCAGCGATAACTGGATAAAATACGAACCCGTGTATTGCAAAATATCGATTTTTGCGTACCTTGGAAGATAATTCAACATGGCTCAGATTCAACCTCCAGAAACTTTCGACTTCTCGACTCCCAACGAATGGCCCAAATGGAGGAAAAGATTCGAACGATACCTCGTGGTCAGTGGAATGAAGAAGAAAGAGGAGGCGGACAAGATCGATTTGTTCATGTACTTGATGGGTGACCGCGCGGATAATATATTCAGGACCTTCAAGTTCGAAAAGGAGGAAGAGGCAACGAAAATTGATTCCGTCCTCAAGGCGTTTGACAGCCACTTCTGTGTCAGGAAGAATATTATCTACGAACGTGCGAAATTTAATTCAAGAATCCAAGAGGATCGGGAGCCAGTGGACGAGTTCATCACTTCATTGTACAAATTGGCTGATAGTTGCGAATTTGAGGGTCTTCATGAGCAGTTGATCCGTGACCGAATAGTGGTTGGAGTGAGGGACAAAGCTTTATCTAAAAGAATGCAGTTGGACAGCGAACTGACTTTGGAAAAGGCGGTGAAAATGGTTCGAGAGCAGGAAGCCGTTCGACAGCAGCAAGTCGACCTGCAGCGTCCCTCAACAAGCCAAAAGATCAATCAGGTGAAGTTCAGCTCGAAGAAGCAATTACCGAAACAACAACTGCAGCCTTCGAGGAAGAAGGACAAGTCAGCCAAAACAAGATCACGATGTCCAAAATGCGGAGGTTTCACCCACAGGGAAGGACAGGCTTGCCGTGCTGAAGGACAAAAATGTAACCTGTGTTCAAAAACAGGCCATTTTGCAAATTGCTGCCCAGATAAGCAGGCGAAGACTGCGGAAGTCAAAGCTGTTTCTGAACTTGATGAAGAAATTGGTTTTCTCCTGGAGGTCTCAGCTGTGGAGGATTCATCTAATCTCGATGATGATGAAGACGAGTGCAGGAGGCGATGGACAGCAGAAATCCAAGTGAACGGGAAAAAGGTGAAGTTCAAGC